AGCTGATTTACGAATTCTTCGCCGTGCGAAGAAATATCCTCTTGGGTGAGATAAAAGATGGGAATAAACGGCGCTCTCGCGGTGCGCGCATTCGTGACCGAGGTGGTGCAGCAGCGTAAACGCCGAGATTCTCCTCTCGCTCTCGGGATAGCGATGCCGATGGCTGCCGGTGGATCCCCGCCGTAGAAAGAATGCCCAAGAAATAAGAAGCGCAGAAGTAACGCGAGTCGCGAGCGAGACGGAACGAAGCCACGGGCAATAATTCTCATATTTTAGGGAGGCAATTTCGAAGGCGAGTGCGCACATACGAGGGAAGGAGCTGGATTTTCGAGGGCTGTACTTTTCGATAATTTATGCCAACGAGCCTCTCCCGCCTCGGCTCGGCTCGGCTCGACTTTCCGAGAAGCGATTCCCTTCACCATGCAGCCCGCGGTTGCCCATCCGCGAAATTCCGCCCGGCGAAATAACTTTGGACTCGGGCAGGCGCGCGTGGCGTATCGCGACACTGTCTTTATCGGAAATTGCACGACGATACCTAAATCCGCGTGGTAATCTGATCCCGTTCGATTTATTTAAAATCCTTAAACAAGATACGCCCCCGACATTGCGGCACGCATTAAATAACCACTTGAACCTTGGGGGATTATTTAAGATAAAGCGGGTTGGAACAACAGCGTAAAGGAATTTTATTTTGTCGCCGCTCTGGCGAGGAAATATATTTCTCTGGCCGAAGAATGTCTTCGGAGCGAAGCGAGCCTGGAAATTTTTAACCGAAAATTTCGATCGCACCGAGCAAACGTATAATGATAAACGGAAACGTGACCAAGGCAAGGGCGAAACGGAAAAGGATGGGAAGAGATAAAACAATGAAACAATTTAATAACACCAATACGCGGTGGGCGGGAGAGAAAGTGTGTACCCGTATTTATAGGTGTTCCAGTAAGGCAGGTAGTAGTACGTGGAAGGATTTAAGATACGCGAGACCAAGCCAGTCCGTAGCTCGGATGCAGATGATCCAAGATTATAGACATTAGGGACATTAGCCTTGGCTTTATGCGATTCTTCGGTGGCCCCCGGGGTCCTCCGCGGCTCCGCATTCGTTCCCCGCGTACACGCGTGCACCGCGTGAAATAATCTAGCAATATTTCCCGATACATATTCTGAGAACCGTACAGATAACATTTGTGGTATCATTAAAAATTCAGAGGCGCAGCTTAAGAAACTCCCAAAGATTTCTATCGACGACGCCCTAATGTACGTAATATAAACGCGAGGGAAAGCACGCATCGCCGGTCGAGGCAGCGTGTTCGCGCGAGAGGGGTAAATCGTCGGGATACGCGCGGAGCAAGAGGGCGAGAGCGAGCCGCAATCGAAAGACGAATGAAACGTCGAAGGCGACGATTACGGCAGTGACTATCCTATAATCCACCGGCGAGGATGGTTTCTTAGATCCTGCGTTTGATTGGTAATTGGATCCTACTTCGGTATAGGGAGGCATATACCCGCGGATGAAGAAGGTCGTTTACCCCTTTCGATGGAGCAATCTTCTCGCGGCGAAATAGTCCGCGATCGAATCATTCACTTCCCCCGCTTCCGATTTCGCCTCACGCGTCGATCATATTTATCGCGGAATTGCCACGCGTCTAACAAAGACGAATTGATAAAATAACTCCATCAAAGGATGCTAAGAGCAATAACGATCTAACAAGACTAAGAAGCAAGCCATTTACCTGTGTTGAACAATTTTTCCGAACACTTTTCCGTTCTACTTTTAACGTTCAACGTTTAACGTTACATCTTTATCGCGTCTCCCGTCTATAAAATAAAACGTCACAGAGACGGCGTGCCGAGGCAAGTCGTTTGCCTATATTTAACCATTTTTTCCGTTCTACTTTTAACGTACAATTTTTAACGTTACATCTTTATCGCGCCTCTCGCGTATATTATGAAATAAGACGTCACAGAGACGGCGCGCACGAAGCAAGTCACTTACCGATATTAAACAATTTTTTCCAATACTTTTCCGTTCTACTTTTAACGTTCAATGTTTAACGTTACGCCTTTACCGCGTCTCTCGTCTATAAAATAAGACGTCACCGAGACGGCGTGCCGAAGCAAGTCATTTACCTATATATTTAACAATTTTTTTCCGTTCAATTTTGAACGTTACATCTTTATCGCGTCTCTCCCGTATATTATAAAATAAGACGTCACAGAGACGGCGTGCATGAAGCAAGTCATTTAGCGATATTAAACAAATTTTTTCCAATACTTTTCCGTTCTACTTTTAACGTTCAATGTTTAACGTTACATCTTTATCGTGTCTCTCGCGTATAAAATAAGACGTCACAGAGACGGCGTGCCGTATGCCCGCTTCGAGGTGCACAGCGTCCGCACGTAAAGAGAAAACCAAATCGGGGGAGCAAACCGCAGGGATGTGTCGCGGCGGTTTAAGGATGATGAAGGCGGGACCTGACATTCCTCGACGAACAACCGCAGACAGTGTCGACACGGTTGCATAAACTCTATGGTCCATTACCGACAGTGTTTACGATTTTTCAATTACTGACTGGCTGATGGAGGACCATCGTTACGCCGAAGACATGCTCGTCCCATCGAGAAGATACCTCGGCAGGTACGCGATTGAGCCGCGAACGAACGAACGTATTTTATCGAACCGACCTTAAGAACATGGTAACGAAAGTTTCCAAGAACCTTGTTTTAAATACAAGAAAATTCTAAAACATTCCGCATTCTAAAAGAGAAGTCGTGCAAGCTTCGCAGAGATCGCCTTTCCCTTTTGATCGAGATAATCGATACGAGTTACGATTACCGTCTCGTGTCTCCGCGGAAAATTTGACCGGCATGACCGTCATTTTGTCAACCGAAGTATTCAACCGCGAGGCTTATGCGCTAGAAGGAAGCCACTGAAGATTAACGCACGTGCAATATTGCGAGGTTGCAGGTGTAAGTCCGCACGTGATGGCAATGCCTGCTTAAAGATTCAGACACTAAAACGCCGTAATACGGGAACCCGTGTCCGTGCGAAGCCGACTTTCCTTCGGCGCGCGGTGAAGTTTTCGCCATTCTCTATTATTGGCATCGGTAAATGGATTTCCGATTGGCGAGATTACAGCCTTCCTTCTTTTATTATCCAAGTTATTTGTGGGCATCCGCGCGTTCGAACGATCAACAAAGTTTATTAGATCTATCAGATCTATCGGGCACTTTAGTTACAATAAGTACTACAAAAGCCAACGATACTAATCTAAAGCCTATATAATATAGTAATATATGAATTCAACGTCTCAAAATATGAATACATTATCATCTTCTCTTAAAGATCAACTTCCGAAACCCGAAAAGCAATGTTGCTAAATCCGCGCTATCACCGCGGTACAAAAAAAAAATGCAACCACTTGGGACGGAACTTTGCGCAGTTAAACTCGGGCGGGGAAGCGTTCGAGCAGGTGCAAAGGATTCGAGCGGACAGTTTTATCTCGGAAATAGAGCAGCAAGAGATAGAACGCGCCTTGATGACTCAGGCTAGGTTCCATTCTAAGAAGAGCGAAACCTCAAGCGAACGGGGTTTCGCTCTCGTATAGAAATTAGTGATAATTATATAGGACTAGCACCTGCACGCAGGTGCAAAAACCCGGGGAACGCTCGTTGCTGTCATGGTGCTCGTGCTCTCTTGGACGAGCAGCCATGAGTCATTGTCGAAGCGAGAGAAACATCCACCCGAACCGGATATACAATACCTTCGTACCACGGTTGCTTGTCGATGACAAGCTAAAGCGGAAAACGAGTCATCCCAACAGACTGCATCTCGTGACAGAAATTAGCAAAGACGCGGTAAACAAAATTCTCAACCTCGATATGTGTGACATCGCGGTACAAATAAGCCTTCCATTAACACGATTATATTTCACGAATAGTTTTGCGGCCGATTAATATATTTAAAAATTAATATACTTTATATTAGATCGTTTTCTTTTTCTTAGCAGAGCTTTAGTTTGATTTAGAGTCAAAATTTCCGGCACAAATAAAAGTGTGGAAATAAAAGCTTTCTATAATGGATCAGTTTAATCGACCTTAACTGGCATTTGTTTAATAAATTAAAAATTAAAAATATAACGTGCGACGTTTCGACCACGGGTTTGGGTCCTTATCAAGCACAAATTCTTAAAAATTAATCGAGTCATTGCAATATGTAATTGAACGGTAAAAAAATTATAACAAAGTTGAGTTATGATTATAAAAATAACGGCACAAATTAAAATATGTACACTGTCTACGAGCTTTCTGCGTTTAAGTTGCACAAACTAGCGTATCAAAATATATTTGCAACTCGGTAGAATCTATATACGCGTATTATGGATAATGTATGCATTATGGTGACCGACGCGACGTCGTAAGTATTTCTGACAAGGCAATACACTTTCTAGTCCAAGTTTAGTAGTCTTTGAAGAAAAAAGTTCGCGAAAGGAATTAATATCGGATAAAACCGTACGGCTCGTCAGTTTTAATTCTGTTCTATTATAACTAAAATCTCGTAAACGGAAATTATTTGACAACCAAAAGAACAATAAATATCTATATAAGAAAACCATAAACCTATGTATTTGATAATGAGATCGCGGTAAAAATTCTTTCATCACAAAATACAGACTTAATTTTAATATTAATGCAAGAAAATGTTGCATATAAAAGCAATTAACATTGCCTTACACAAAAATTTTGATATCGCTAAAAATTTGTCTACCCCAAACTTAAAATGAAGATTATTTTAATCTCTTCCTTTTGCACAAAAACATTGCAATACTTTTTTTTATAGAACTTTTATCTCTTTAGTCAACGAAGTAAAATTAACTGAAAGCATAGATCTTCTAAACCGATACATGTAACAGAAACATATATAATTGTAAGCTATCGTTTAACACATTGTGATTATTAGCGATATTAAAAAATGCGTAAAAACGTAGCAAATTTTGACTTACCCTTCAGCTGCGTGGTCTCGATCGCGAACATGTTGAGCGCCAAGAGCTGAAGTAAACGAGTACCAGGAAGTGGTAGTGGCGAGTGCTGTAACAAGGCTCTGAATTCCTTCAGCATTTGAACACCGGCTTCTTGAAAAGTCTCCATCCTGAAAACAAAGAACACAATCCTTTTCGTATTCTTGTAACATTTCTATTAAAAAATAATCGACTATATATATAAATGGTAAGAGATCGAATGGTGACAATTATAAACAGTTCACGAACAATTTCTGCTCGCTTTAAGCGATACAAAATCTACGTGCAGTTAAAGATAACAATTTGTTATCACTTTTGATATCAGTTAAAAATCTTACACATTTCAGTAATTGAAATTTTCATCTAGAGCATTTTTAGAATAATGCAAAATTCGTACACTCATCATTGTAAAACCAATCAATCATTTCCTATGAACGCACAGAAATATCAATGGCTCGTGAGTGACAAGTAATTCGCAATGCTGGTAATTCATTTTCCTCCACCTTCGAAAACTACGCACGCACAATGGGGACGATTAACGGCACGCCAAGCGTTTTCTCAACGTGGGCACCCACGTTAATATCCCTTCAATCGATCCGTCTCTACGTAATCGAGTTTAGATCGAAATCGGCGAATCTGCGACCCACGTCGGCGGCTAATCCGAGACCGGTGATAAAGGAGGACGAAGGTTGGCCGCGAGGTCTAGAGCCGCCGAGGGGGCATCCTCGTAAACACGGCAACGGGAGACCTCGCATAGCGGACGCTATCTTTCCCACAGCCTCTTTCCGCGTGGCGTACCGTCTACATACATTTATATATATTGTATATGTATGCATACAATGTATTAAATCTGTGTAACGTCTCACTTGATGTCTCACCCGCGCCGCGCCGCGCCGCGCCGCAATTCGGAATATTCGTGACGCAGCCTCCTTTCCAACTCCTCCCATTATGTTGTCTTACCTCACATTTTTTAGCCTTGATCGTAGAAATTTGAAAATGTGGAAAAAATCAAATAAATATTTCTAACAACTTGGTATTTCGTGCCAAAAAGTTTTAAAAGGACATAGAAGTTTTCATTAAATTTTTTATAGTACCTTCCATTATTTATCACGGAGAATTAATTTAAATTAACTTCACTTACATCAGATGCTTTCTAAATTTTGAATTCCCGGATTTTATAAATTCTCATTCTCACAGACGCTATTTCCATTTCTGGCCTCCGATTGTTGGAAAGAAGCATGCGCTCGTCGAATGTCACGCTTGAAAACTGGTTTGGTGGATATTACACAGGACTGTCGCGGGAAAGTAAAACTAATTCAATCTTCAAAGAGAAATGACAAAAGGACTTTATAAACGCGAGAGGGAAAGGGTTTGCAGTCACAAATAATTGCGCACTTACTGCCAAGCGCAATTACCACATGCTACTTTTGCTGTGTCAGAAGGAATCAATAAGTAAGCTTCTGTAATTCACCGCACGGACAAACGTCCACAAGGAATTGTTGATAGCCTGTAATATTAGTGTCCCGCAAAATGACCGACAAGAAAGACATTTGGAAAAGCCGGTACTACCTTATCCTTAGAACCTACATGACCATATCGGGTATATGGCCGTATCGTAGACCTCGCGACAGATACATGCACTTTATACCGACGTTTATATTCAGCAGTAGTATTCTGATACCACAGGTAAATTTTGAATTTACGCTTAAGAGAATGCAATTTGCTCTAAATTATTTGTGTCGTCACAAAAACAAACTTAATTCCTATATACACTAAAAAAAAACACTTTGCGTTACCGCAGCCAATCATGCTTTGCTGAAAATATTTTACTGCCATAACTACAAATTTCTAAACCACAGCAAACGGTGTGCTGTCGCACCCAATACAATAGGCACAGTAGCAAAATATTCAGCTATCACAGCTGTCCATATTTTACAACTGAAATTTTGTTGCCACGCGAAGTTTTCAGCTACGGCAGCTACACTTTTCTTTCCGTGTAATTATTTTCTTTATATGAAAAATGATGTAACGTATTAATATGTTCTGTCCTATTGATTCCAAAATAGTTACTGTACGTGTTCGTTGCCTCAGAACTCAATGACGTGATAGAAAGTCTAATGGCAGCGATAATCAGTATAATATTCAGCCTTAAAGTAGCGAACATAATGTTTAACAAAAATGTGAGTAACAATTCAATTTCGAGCCGTTTCTTCTCGAAATTATTAATGCGATAGAAAATACAAGCGTGTATGTACATAGATAAAGTCTTGTCTCAAGACAATAGAGGAGGATTGGCTGTCATTAAAAACAGATGTAGAAATATCTATCCTGCAACGCCACGCCGAACACGGACGATATCTAACGACATCTTATGCAGGTACATCGTAGAAAACGTGTAGGTGTACTTTTTAAATGTGCGTACGTACATTTATGGCGTCTATGTAATGACGCACTTTACACTTCCGCAATTCCTTGAATTTTTCAATCATTTATTCATTTTAAATCGTACAATTTGCATGAGATATGCAATTACCAAAGTTGTTGTTTACTCGGAACACTTTTAAATCGAGCAAGAGTTTTAAGTGTAAAAACGAAAATGTGTAGAAAGAATTTACTACTTTGACATACATATCTTTTTTTTCTAGTTTTTATGCATATGATACAAGTTTTCTACTTGGTCAAACCAGTCCTTCTGACGCTCTTAGAGACCGATATCGCGAATTCTACGAAGGCGTCTATATCGAAGCTGCCATTTCGTGTCGAGTACGGTGTGGACGTAGACCGATACTTCTATCCAATAACGATTCACTGCTATCTAGCCGTGTTCGCTCATGTATTCAGTACAGTCGCGGTCGACGGTCTGTACTGCACATTGATTCAACATGCTTGTGGGATGTTCTCCATTGTCGGGTAAAGATATCAGGGTCCAGAGTTAACAATTAAAAATTGAGATGCGAGTATTTTTGCACCCACATTTTGGTGCGCTTCCAGACACGTGCTAGAGGAAATTGGTAAAAATAACGATGCTAAATCTCGTCTGACGCTAAACAAGATAGAGAACAATGATTACAAGAAGGCACTGAATTGCTTGCGTAGACATCTACAAGTAATAGAGTGCGTATTAACGAAAATGTAGCGTGTAGTAGACAACGATTAAAAATACTATCAACTGCCCTCGATACTGCTTGCTATCTGTGCTCAGACTCGCGATTTTGTAGATTCGCGGAGCTAATCGAGTCTACGTTTACAAATGTATTTCTGATCAGCGTTAATCTGAATATGATCGGTGGAAGTGTTACCGGTATACAGGTATGCATCAATCTCTCTATGCGCTTTGTATTTTACCAGCTAATAAAGAATGTCGTAACACTCGATTACAATTAATATTTCGCAAAAGTTGTACTTTCAATAACGAAGGCATAATTTTCGAAACGTCAATGCTCGCATGACCTCGTCGAAAAAATCCGAGATGACTTAAGACTCTCGAGAGGAATTAAATTTGTGTTTCAGATGGTGATGAATTTAAACAAAGGTGTTAGAGAAGCAGCAGCGCCCATGGCTATTTATATCGCGCAACTTGTGCATATCTTTCTACAATTCTGGCAAGCACAGTTTCTGTTAGATTACAGTATCGTCCCGTGCGAGTCTATGTAAGGACGCAAGTTCTTTCTATCTTATCGCTAGTTGTTGGTAACTGAAGTGTATACGCAAACTTTACTTCTGCGTTATAGCTGCAGAGGGAAATGGTATTATACTTCGAGGAGATGTCAGAGGCTGTTTCTTTTAATTATGACTAGAACTGTATCACCGTGCAGAATAACTGCCGGCAAAATCGTAACGTTATCAATCGAAAGCTTTGGTACGGTAAGTAAAAACAATTATTTTTAAATTGTTGATTTTTCAAAATCGCAGCGTGTCTGACGATCATTTATACACAATTTCCGATAGTTATAAAAGAATTATATTAATATCGGGTTTTCATTTTCTAAAGGTTTTAAAAACGATGATGTCTTATTTTACGGTGCTACGTTCCTTCCAGTGATACTGTCACGTCGAAGTAACCATACATAATTAACAATACGTCGTTAGCAGAATAAAACTGTGTATGAAATTCTCCCTTATCCGAATGCCAGTATTATAATACAATTAACGCTGAGTTAATTTAAGAATTAAGCCTCTATACATTTTCTTATTCCACACCTCATCGCGTATACGCGCAATACAGCGATATTATTTGTTTGTAATATCTCAATTCTGTAATATTTCCTTTTACTCTTTGCTTAGTTTTTCCAAACGTCCTAAAGAAACTTACAATTGTCGTGACCGAGGTATAAAGAAAAAAGTTGAATGCATTCGTTGAACTTGTCTGTTGAAAAGTTATTCGGTGGCTAACCTAAATAACTTTTGAAATTTTCCAGAAATCATTCCATTTTTCGAATAATTGTATCTCACGAAACTGATTCCAATAAGCTAGTGTAGTCTTTCAACAGGCTGAATGAATGGTAGCCGAGAGATCGTGCCACTTGGCCGGATAGGAGGAGAGAGAAGGAGAGCGCCAAGTCAGACTTCTATGCCAACGTACCGTTATTACGTACTCTCGATTAAACTCCGAAGAATGCTAAGTAATCGTTTAACCCCTTCGGCTCCCGTGGCTTCTCCGCGCAATGAATCACCCGGTTCGCGTCCCTCGAGAGCCGCAGAGGCGAAATATCGGGCTCTACGGGGACACGACAAGCCGCTGATGGGCCCCGATTGTGTGCCTCGATGCCTCTTCCGAGGGTAGAGAATGCCGTGGAGGCACTATTCCCATCGCGTCTATACGCCGCGAGCGATAAACGCGGCTGCTGAAATCGGACACCTCTAAGCGCGGCCAGCGGCGCGGATCAAGGCGCACTCACACGCTCGTTTGCCCGCTTCGTTGTTCGATCGTCGAAAAAGACCGTTAGCCGCCGACTGAAATCAAGTTGGTACCATCCCACATATCGCGTGGTATAATCGTCCGTATTTATTCGCGCGATTACCGACGCCGAAGGTGCCCCGCAGTCTCGAAGAGAAGAGATAAAACGTGACAAAGCGCTGTGCAATTCTGCCGCTAACATGCCCAGTTTTCGGCAGCGCTCGAGGGTACGACTTCGTCGTCGTAATTTAAAAATTCACCGACGAAGAATGCTACAAAGTTCAATATATCATAATCTCTCGTACTCGAGAAGCTTCGTCGTAGGGATTAAACCGCGAGACAAATTTGCATCGAATATCATCGCGCAGTAACGTGAAACTGGAATTGAACTAGAATTACCTGATTTCCCTCTTCGCCTTGGGACACTCGGACTATTTTATTTAATTTCAGATTCAACTGCGATTACCATGCTCAACCATTGCAACATTGCTCTAAGTTCATTAGTATTCAATGATAAATCGTGTGAACGCTCTCATTATGAATTAAGCGTAACGTTAAGATATTTTACGAGTTATTCCCACTTGTGGATACAAACAGTTTCGAAAACTTTTTAACTTTTTGACCAAAAATTGAGCTCGCGTACCGCAAACACAGAGCTTTTAACATTACTATAGAAAAGCGTGCATAAATTATTTTCATTGTTATGACACATCGAATCTTTTTCTGCGTCAGGAATTTAGCGCGCGAAAAAAAAAGACAATGTGTAATCGCTCCGACACAAATCTATTTTTAATACGGCATCGGCGTGTCGACGCTACCGACACGAGGATGAAGGGACGCGAGTAACTAGTAATTTTCATATTACTCAAGCATAATCGTAAATCTGTATAGCGTTAATACCACTTAGCCAGATGCATTATGGTATCGGATCTGCTCGTAACTCCGTGATCATCGATTTCTTTATCTTGTTCGCGCTTTACAACTCTCTCGCGGCAGATCGAACGACCTCGTTCGGAATAATGCACGGTAACTAAGAGTCGTATCTGCGACCGATCGATCGTAGATAACGATGATAATCTTACGGCGGATCGATCGAGATCGGCCCGCGAAAGTTCCGAAGTGCAGCGACGTTGGTCGATTAACTTTACGGTTTTTTGATAGACGCTAAGAACGCGATTATCATGCGCTAGAGAGGGATTCTCACGTGCGCTTATTAAGTCCGCTATATTAGCAAAGTGACTGCTATCGCACGCGAGAGATAAGCGTTATCGTCGCCTTCGCGTTCAATGCTGCTGTCGATATGGCGCGGCATCGGAACCACCGTGCGATGAAAACGTAGCAATGTAATCCCTTCGACGGGATATTGATGTAATTTTGTTCAGAGTAATCGGCTTTTCGAGATGTGAACGAAACGAACAAGGAATCATTTGGTAACGCAAAAGTCTCGAAAAACCGATTACTCTGAACGAAATTATGTCAATTCCGTCAAAGGGATTACATTGTAAAAATGTCTTCACTTTTTTTGGAAAGGATTTAAGAAATGTTTAATCTATGTAAGAAGTAAGAATTAGGATGCAATTAATATCGCACGCAAGTCAAAACGTGAAAACCTGTATAAATGTTAACTCTCAATAAATGTTATTAATAATGCAATAATTCAAAAGGCTAATTAACCTGGTCCTATATCTTTACAGATATCTCAGTGTTCTCAGAAGTTAAAACTGCCTGGAAATGGATTGTGATCACGGCCGCGATCCAGGAAGACGCAAGGACTCTTCAAGTCGTGCTCGTTTAAGGGCCAATTGAAACGACGTCGCCACGTTTGATCGAGCAGATTCATTTTCTCCGTCGAAATCAGATAACGAATCGCCGAGCTATAATCGACTCGCTTAAACGAAACTGTCGGTATCTATCTATCCCGCGCAGGCCCTACGTTGCACGCCCTATGCTACGTGCCGATACCCTGCTATGCAACACCGACATTAAGGAGCCCCCTCGGCAGCCCGAGTTGTCCCATCGACATCGACGGACAGGCTCTATGACTAACAAGTTTGCACTTTAACGCATAACGGGGCATTCCGCCGTGTACCATAGATCATGGTCCATGACCCGCGGATTGCGTGGGCCGGCCACCATAATCATTCCTCGCCTCGATACAGCGACGCGGCGGCGATGCGGTACCACGAGCATTAAGTTTCCGACTCTTCTTCTTCTTCTTCTTTTTCTTCGTCGTCTTCTTCTTCTTCGTCTTCGTCGTCTTCGTCTTCTTCTTCTTCTCTTCTTCTTCTTCTTCGCCGCCTTTCATTCCCACTCCCGCTCAATCTCAATCGCGCTATCTCCCGCATCGAACTCACTCCTTTTGCGATGGCGCAGCCAATTTCGTCGCTTCGATCGAGAAATAATCACGCCGCGCGGCTAATCTCTTCAGGGACAGTTATTTTACATTAGACTGGCGAATTATATGTATACAATTCGTCAATGATATATATTTGATTTGATACAAATGACAATTTGATACTAATATAAAATTAACTCATCGTTATATCAATTATTGATTAACATTAAGCACATTTTACACGATGATCCAAAATGTGTGTGCAGATATTTTTTGAAATGAGTTTTGCAAGTATAGTAAATGCCGTCTTCCCTGAAGAGACCGGCAGAAACGTTCGTGACAAGCTTTCTGCAAAGACGTCAAGCAGTTTTGTAAGAAAATGCAAGTCCGAGCGAAATAGTGCGTACCTCTGTGCGTACAAGGTATTCGCGAGTAGTACAGGTTGTACCAACCGCGAAGATTAATTTAGCCGCGGCTATAAATAAATGTCGGATAGATAATAAATCGTCCCGCAAAATATGCAGCGCGGATAAATAGATACCTTCGGGGTAACGAAATTCCTTCGATTTTTCATAGGCGGCCGCGCGATTACACATAATTAATCGATCCGGCGCGACATCGGTCGGGGGGATGCGATCGCGTCGGATATTCGGATCTTCGATCGCTCGTAATAGAAATGTAATCCCGGGCTATTGGATTTTATCTAGATTATAAAATCTAAATGACTCAATCGCCGACGACGATGCATCATACGCGGAACGCGTATCAAAAATGATTACGGCCAATACGTCGCTGTCGTAATCATTGTCATTAGCGTAGTTATCATTATTTATTGACCGGCAAAATATTCGCTTGAACGTAACGTCGCTCCGCAAACGGGATACCGACGTACGTCACGCATTTTACTTCGGGAATTAATTATAAGTAATGATACGGCACGCAAATGACACGTACGACGCGCGGACTACTCTGATTAAGCGCCGAGGAGAGGAAATGCACGGCGACATAAATTGTAGGCTGCAATCGAGCGAGACGATATAAGTGTCAAGGACGTTTTTCATATCGTCACAGATTTTTCTTTCCTGTTATATCTACTTCGTGTAATAAGCAGATAAGATTTATTACGCTCGCTCGCCCGGCGCTATCGCGGATTCACTCCACATTCTCGTGCGATGTCGAAAAATCGGGAGGAAAAGCCAATTAAACTTAAGTGCGTACATTTCTTAAGAATAGCAAAAGGAGGACGCTTAAATTAGATATCGTTTTAAATTAGAAATATAGGCATTCCATCATTTTCAATTATAATAATCTTTAAGTAGCAATTACATTACTCGAAGCTTTTAAATTACTTAGAGCAATCTCAAATCTTTTCGTTTTTCGTCGCTTCTCTTTTACAATTCCCCCTCGCGTCGCAAAAACAGTTCGGCCGAGGAATCTCTGTTATTTTTTTTTAACCAACTATCACCAGATATTTTTAGATATTGCCGCTCGCAAGCTTCCCTTATCCCAATCTTCGATTATCTCACGCGTCTTCTTAAAGTTTTATTTCCGTTTTATTCCTGTTGTTTCGCACCTCGTGCCGGCAAGAGGCTCGTCGAGGCTCGATCGAAGTTAAATGGCTACGAAGGAACTCGGCCCGACGAAATGTATCATATAATCTGATCGTCCTTGCCAGCAATGCAAAGACACATAAGCGACGGCATAATGAGCCATTAGCCCGAGAGTGTCGATGACAGAGCCTGATACTATACCCGCTATCTCTTCGCAAGCCGAATGCGCCGTGAACGACATTACGCGTGTTCTCCGGCGCTTTAACGCTCCGTGAGTGAACATCGTTTAATCATCGATTACCACGGATTCTCTACTCTCGCGCGCGAAACATATCGTAAAACGAGCAAACGGAAATTCGGAAGATATGCAAACGCATTAAGCACGCGATGCGCGAAGCGAGATGGCTCGTAGATAATATTGAAATTTTCGTTTCGTACAACAGTTGCGAAATCGCAGTAAGATTATTCTTCCTCCTTTAC